ATCTATTAATAAAAGTTTTAATTATTAAAATCATGATTAAAATAAATCTATCGATAAATACATTGCTTTCAGTCCAGACGTCAGACAATACTTTTGGCGAACCATTGATTGTATAAAAAGTTTTTTGTGGGAAACAGAGTCCGGGAAATGCGAACCAATAGTGAAACTTATATTTCTTTAAATCCTATTATAATTGAAATGACAATAAAAACATTAAGTTTTGTACAAATGAAGAGACTTTTGAAACACATTTCTTACGGCAAATACTAATAGTAAAAACTTTGACAACGATTTAGACATATCTTGAATAGCGGTTCCATCGGTGATATCCCTCCATATCTATAATTAACTGACAATTAATATACAGATTGACTACAAATACAGTATACAATCATCACATCCCATGGATGTAGTGATAAGTGATGAACTCTACCTCTTTTGCTAACTCTTTCATCAATAGTTTCTTATCTTTGACGGCAAACTCTTCAGAAGTATTGGTGACAATCAGTCGACCGAGCAATGGGTGACATTCTTTGCCCGAATCGATGGTACTTTAAATGACATACAAATCAATGGCAATCGATATCGTAATCAGTGGTTAATCTCAAGACATACCTCTGGAAGGAGTCGTAGTTAACATTGAGAAGTGGCGGCAAATTTAATGACAAATCTGTCCATCAGTTCAGAGATATTTAAGACAATTAACAAATCAATTCATTTTAATCTTATGGCTTATCATCACAAGTGGCCATCACTACCATAACTACTCATGAGTTTTACATTGAGGTTACGGCACGTCTGATGACCAATCAGTGGCAATGATAGCGAGGCTGCGGTGAACATACCGTTCCTGTAGTGGCCAGTGATGTCAATAGGGCTGTCATCCAAGCGAATGGTATTCAACTTCTTGGCGGCCAATGAGTGCCAAAATCCCGTTTCGATGACTGAACGGAACGGATAGTACTTAACCAGTTGTGGATCAGTTGCTGGCGAAGACATGTCTCTCATATGACTCGTGGTGTCAAACAATCACTCAATT